TCTGCACAACATCCCCACCAGCTGCTGTTTTAGAACGGATGATAGATACAGCCTTCTCAAGAGTACAATTGTGTGGAGCAGAATTCTGAATCAGAGATTTGGTCCATGCATTGTTATGTGTGTATAAATAAAGCTGACTGTAGTTATGCAAAATCCTTGGGAAAAAAATCACTGCACATAGGAGACATATTAGCCACATGCGGGACCGTAAACAGACATGAAGGGATGGCTACACATCTACACTCAGGGCAGCTGAAATATTTGGCCTTTGCCCTTGAGTATCAAAACACCAGGGACCTATATTATACCAGGCCTGCGCAATAGTAAAGAGAGCAAGGAACTTTCCCTCTTATCCACTGCTCAGGGGCTGAGCATAATCGTTTTTGCACATGGGGAAATACAGTCTGCGCTGAGTTAGTGCCTTCAGCAGTGCTAGCCTCCACAGTGGATGTGTAAAAGCAGGGCTCTGCTTGCCTCTCTCAGTAGTCAAGAAAGCTGGCCCCACACAGAGGAAAGCACATTCCAGGCTTTCAAAAAGCGTAGAATGCAAATCATACTGTCCATAAGCTACTGGAGGTACAATGCTTTTTTAGCTTCTGTAGGGCAATATACTTCCACCTCATCCATCCATCTTAGGTACTTCTATGTCCTGCATCATTGTATCTGAGCACCTCACAAGCTTTAATGTATTTATCCTGACTGCACCCCTGTGAAGTAGAAAAGTGCTATTATCCCATTTTATCCTCTATTGAGGGCTGTGGCCAAGAATGCACAAGCTCCCTGATCTACATTCAGAGCTTATTATTTAGCCCACTTTAACTGAAGGGGGCTCAGAAACATGAAAGTTTCAGAAAACTGAATAAGCAGGATGGCAATGCTTGGGGTCATTTGCTGCTGCCAGGGGACATGACCAGCTGCTAAATAGAGGCTGGATAAATGGAGTTACAACATGCAACACCACACACTGATTAAGACAAAAATGTTGAATGACTTAAATGAACTACTTTTTCAAAAGCTAACAACTGCTAGGGAAAATGGTCTTACTTCAGAATTTCAAAGGAAACATTCAGCTCCATATTCTTCCTTAGCTTCATTGCCACAGGAAGGATGGGAGGATTTTAAGTCCCTACTCACTAGAAACAGTCAGATTTGAGGGAGTTTCCACCAGCTCCATCCATGTTGGCTCTGTTCCTACACTCTTACCTGTTTCTTCATTTTTGCTCAGCTCTGCTCTCTCTTCCGTTCTTGCTGCAGGAACGGAGGGAACGCTGATGTCTCTCTTCCCGGTGGTGCTACTGCACCCTCTGGCTTGAAGTAGTAATAACAAACACCAAGTAGCTGGTTTCCATCATCAGCATCCCCACTATAAAACTTGTTCCAACTCCCATCTCTTCCAGGATACTGGGCTAGATGGATCATTTTGTCTTGACCCAGTATGGCTGTTCTTATGTGGTGCTACCCTATGGTGCAATGCATAGGATGAACTGGTGTTCTATTGGCTCACCTTTCTCCCCAATATTTCCATGGAAGTCATAAAAGAGGAACCCTATGAAGGCCAAATTTGGAGAGAAAGTTTGAACTGATCTTTGTTATGATGATGTTGTTTTAATAAAACCAAAGCCCAGGAAAGGAGGCAAGTTGGCACTTACCCTACCATACTGAGTGGATTAGTTTTTAGCATAGGCTTCCTCACTCCCTTCCTGAGTCAGACACACACAGTGAAAGAGTATGTGAAGAGGAGATAATGGATGTGTGATACAGAATGAGGAAGATAAGTCAGTCAGTGGAGGGGGAATGAGTAGACAGAACGTTGGAGGGAGGGAGGAAGAGGGAATAGATGCAGGAGAGCCTGCACTCAAAGTTTTTAAACTAACTTTGGTGTTTGTTCCACATCTGGAAACAATTATAAGAGGATACCTGACTGCAAGGTGATGTCAAAGCTGATCAATTGCACATTTTTGTTGCTGGTGGCCTCAATCAACAAGCAGTACCCTATCAATGAAGAGACAGGCCCAAACAACTGTTTGCATTTATTTTTCCGAACAATTTAAGTAAAGTCTGCAAGTTAGGTTTTCTTGCACTTGTTTCCTGCCAAATTGCCAATGTGGCCCATGGTACGTAAAATTTGTGAACCTCCAGCTCTGCTTGAAAGTGGACATGGGTGGGGGAAACTCACTGAGAAGCAGTAACCTTTGTCCCTCAATTCTAGCGCCAGTAAAAATGGACTTTACAATGGAAAGATGGCAGCCAGTTCTCTTAGCAAGATTCCATAGGTCTTACCCAGTCAGGTCCTGGCATACACTACTGCTGCCCAAAGAGCTCCCTTGTGGTAACTATTTCTCTGTTGGAATAAAATAGATTTCCCTTTTCACTATCCACCTTTTGGGGATGCCATGGATCTAGCCATTAAAAATGTGGTGGAGAAGTAACCCTCTTGTCAGGACAAATTTTACTTAAAGTGCTACCCGACTCACCAGTGGATGCTTGTGCCAGCAGTGGACCTTTCTACCAGCTTGATGAAGCTGTTGCATGAGAATCAAAATTAAAGATAAAAAAATTGTTGTTCATTAGAGAAACAGAAATATTCTAATGGGGAGGGTGGGGAGTGAAGATTTTGCACTAGTAGGAATAGAAAGCATAATGGTGAAGTGCATGTGTATACAAAAAGGGATGGTAAACAAGGGGAAAGCAAAAGAAGAGACTCCTTGGAGAATGAAACTCTTGTCTCCTTAAGTCCTGATGCACTGGTGCAGTGAGGAAGGGCCAGGAAAGGAGGCTTTGTCTTTAGGAAGTTTCAAACAATAGAAAAAACCAACAAAATCAATAGAAAATGGTTTTAGAAGAGCCTTTAAAATGAGTTTTATTGTCAGAATTTTACAAGTTGCCTTTAGAGGCTTCATACAAGAACTCTGTTGCAAAACTCTAATAAATAGTCTGCCCCAAGTCCCAATTTTTTTTTTTAAAATAAAATAAAAACCAAACCAGACGTAAAAATAGAAGAGAATAAGCAAGACTTCAGGATGCTCAGGGATGTTAGCAATATTTCTGATTTACAAATAATATCAGGCATTATACAAATCTCCTTCATACAAGTCATTTTTTAAAAAATAACAGGACATTCTCAACCTTTACAAAAGCACTCCAGAAATAGTTCCAAATAGATTCATTTCCATGACAAAACATCATCAGAGAAGAATTCCATGGGGATTATCACCACAAATTAAGCTTTAGGTCAAAGTGTAGCAAGTTCCTGTGTAGTAGGATCAAAGAGCAAGAAAAAGTGCATCAGAGAGAGCTTGGAAGATTCCCACTGATGATTTCTTTTGAGAGAGTGGGTGACTGTGGAAGAAGGGGAGGCTATTCCTGAAATGGACAAATAATACAATGTTACTTGTATAAGGCAATGTGTGTTTCAATGTGAGGGTGTTAGTGGATGCACACAGAGAAGGGCAAAGATGATACTTCACTGCATATGGCTTGCATCAATATCTGTGCAGGTTGTAGTATGAGTTATATTGTGACACCAAAAAAGTATTTCTAGAGAGGTGACATTTTATGGCAAGTTTATAGCTCCTTCAAAGAAAAACAAGTTAATCCTCCTGATGCCAGGCAAGCAGAGAAATCTTATGCTAGCCAGTTGCCCTGGGAAATCCAGACATCAGAGAGGCAAAAGTTAAAATACTGCTTCCTTCTTTGTCCCACTACTTAAGGAAGGGGACAAAGTCTCTAACTACAGCTTTATATTTCTCCATTTGCATTATCCATAACAAGGTTATTAAAGGTTTACTAATGCCAAAGACTTGCTATATAGTTGAGATTAATAAACATTTCTTCTGCCTTTTTTATTTGAAAAGTTCTATGACCAAGCTGGGTGGGGAGGGAAGGGCAAGTGCAATGACATGGCATATATGGTGTATTAGAAAATGCATACAGTTTGAAAAAAAAATCAAACACTTTACAGCTTCAGCCAAGGACCTACTATACATAGGTAGGTAATAGATCCCCAGGTAGGGGAGGGACAGAGACAATGCTTACGCAGAAGTACAGCAGTTATTCTCTCAGTCAGCCTGATGCAGTGTGCCATTTAGCATGCCAAGTTGCACTATTCCTAAAGTACCTGGCAACCATTGTTTCCATAGGAAACAAAGGCAACTAGAAGTGCTAATGCAAGGACATGTGTGATAATCTGACTCATCCATGGCTCAAGTGTCTAATCTCTCTTCCAATATTCTGATGCGGATTGTACTGTACCATACACTATGGGCATATGTTCTGTATAACATATGTGAAGATAGCACTAGTGATCAAGCACAAATCATTCAGGAGACACCTAAAACATTTTTTTTACACCCCCTTGTCTGTGGCATACTTCAGAAAACAATGTAAGGAAAGCAGCAAAATAAACGTTTCTTTCTAGTTTCCTAGGAGTCATAATATTTATCAAAGCAGCAAGGAAAAGCAGATTACCTGAAACAGAGAGAAAGGAGTTAATAGAAATAAATAGAGGCAAATAGACCGAACAATTCTGGTCCAGCCTCCAAATAATTTTGTACATAACAGGTAAAGAGATAATGTGCAAAAAATAAAGACATTCACATTTTAGTAGTTCAACTTTTATTTTACCTTTTTTAAATTATTTTTTTGTTTTTGTTTTTCTACAAAAGGCAGACAATGATTGTTGATCTGCGATTGTTCTGAGTGCGTGCAGAGGCGCAAAAAGGGGTCATCAGAGTACACAGGACGGGGAAGTGCTCTGACTATACTTTCACATATCATCATTAAGGTGGCATTAAAGCGAAGTCCCACTAACAATTATTTATAACTGATGTTTTCCTTCCCCATTTACTGTTCTCAGTTCATATCAATCGTGTTGAAAACCCATTCAGTGAATTTCTTCAGTTTCTCAGATGCACTCTGGGACTCCTCCTGTAACCGTAAGTTGTCTTCTCGCAAATGTTGCACTTCTGCCTGAAGATTGGCTTTGTCTTCTTTTTCCTAAGGGATGAGAAAGAATATGAGAGCTCAATGGTGATGCCCGGTCACATTTCCTGCTCTTGTCAACAAGGAGGACTCCATCCTACAGAGGTATTATATAGTTTTGTTTCCCCACTTTACAAGAGCTTTAAGTGCGTAGACACTCGTGTTCCTGGCTTTAGGGTATTCTATATCCATGGGCTGTGTCGTGACATTCTTTCCCCCTTATGCTCTTTCGGCACAGATTGTTGGGATTTCTCAAGACTAAATTCTAATGTAAATGCTAGCTCTGCAAGTGATCACCTGAAAATGGTCACAATCTATTCCATGCTAATACAGACGTCCTATGGTGTGACTGCTGAGGAGAACTAAGTAAGAGATGGCAAACACCTCCATGAATACTGTACTGCGTAAGAGACCTTTGACCTGAACACAGCAAGATCCTTTCTGCAGAGAAGCATGTATTTCATCATTAGAAAGTAGATGTGCTAACTTTACCTCTTACTTCCTAACACCACTGTGTTTAAAAAATAAAATACCTGGACTATGATCTGAGGAAAGAAGTAAAGAAATGTAATTTTCTCAACAAAGGATGAGACTGTTACAAATTTGGGGGTGGTGGAAAAGGTTTATAACATGACTAGTACTGCCTAGCAACAACATATTTACACCCTACAGGTTTCCTGTAGAATAAATGTTTACCCGCTTTAAATCCTCTTGGAGCATCTTCAGCAAACTTTCCAGTTGGTCCACTTTGGAAGCGAGAGTAGGAGGAGACTCTTTACTGTTGGAAACAGGAGATAAAGACAATATTGGCAGGATTTTCTGTAATCCTTCTTCGCTTCTAACTCTAGGCTGGAAAACTGCTCAAAATACATGTGTGATACAGTACATTCTGAATATAGATTTTTACTTAAAAATGTTCACCACAGGCCTCGACTACTAACAGAAATGGTATGCACATGCTTAGGCAGCACAATCACTCAACGAAATGGCTATTAGCAGTCACTGAAGACTCATCATTTGCTTTCTCTCTCTAACCATTAGTTACAGGATAATTACATATACCTTGGAATGAGACTGCCTTGGACACTGTTTTAAACATCTCAGATGAAAGAGAACCTTCAGAAATATGCTATTTTCACAAAGACAGAAATATACTCAGCATTTTTGTGTTTTCTCTCTCCTCTGTTTTTCTTTTGTAAAAAGTCATAAGAGATCTAAGTTTGTTGCAAATCAAAGCATCTCCATCCAGTCTTCCCTGGGTTTAGTTTAAAAAACTTACCTGTCCAATATATTTACTCACCCTGTGTAAGGCTTCATCTGTGCAGTAAGCTGGTCCTCAGTCTGATCACTATTGGAAGCAGCACTCACAGGTCTGTTGTTTTCATCACTAGCAGCAAAAAATGAGGCTCGCTGAACTGAAGAGAGAAAGAGAGAGAGAGACAAACACAATTGTAAATATAATGATAATTTGCTTCTACATACTGGAGAATCTGCATTTGAGGATCTCAAAGCAACACAAACATTAAATATCACAACACAACACATGACTTATGTAATCAAAGTAGCAAGTTAAGATAGGTGAATGGAGGCATAGAAAAATTCAATACAACACTTGCTAAAAGTGACAAAGCAAGCTAGTGGCAGAAAGAAATAAAATCAAAGAAACCCATCTCACTGATCTACAACCTTCACCATGCAGCCCCTTTATATTGAAATGGAACCGACATTTTGAAAGGTACAAAGCCACTCGTGTAAAAGAATATAAGGTACTCCTTTCACTAAGAATTGCAGCACACACAGTGATTTGAACCTCCTGTGGCAAAAAAAGTTTTAGAGCCATCTTATGGCTTCACATAGTACTATTCGAGTAGCTTGGCAAATCATCATTTTTCCTAGAAAGAAGGTATTTTCCACATCTTTATGGTTGTGAGAATTACATGGAGAAAGTGAAGAGACCCTGATCATTTTTTATTTGTTATATTTGTTTATTGTTAATCCTTTATAACATGTTTTGAGATAAAAAAAATTGAAAAGAAATCTCCCCTCCTCCACCATTTGGTTTTTCCTTATAACTGTTTATTTATGAAGTTTTATCAAATTTACAAATCATTACCATACCATTTTTGTTTAGGGAAACACCATGAATGATACATCTCCTTTAGGCTTCCTAGCAAAAATGGTCAGACTCAAAGAAATGAAGAAGTAACGTCTCATTTGCTAGCTACTAATGGCCTCTCACTGGAAAGAGAAAAATAGTCTTCTTCTATTTGGCAAAGGTTTTATTCTGTGTTTTGAATAAGGCTAAAATTAACATGGCTGTTTTCTTTGACAGAATTTTGCCATGTCCATTTAAAAAAAAAAATGAAAAACGCAGGAGAACTGGATGGCTTAAGAATTTAGTAACAGCGCATGAAGGTTTTCAGTTCAGCTGTTAGTGACTAGAAACCAGCTGGGATGAGTTGGAGAGCCCTGCCTAGTTTCCAGTCAACAGGTGTCCAAAATCAGAAAAAGCACCAATTATTTATTCTAATTGGTACTTGCAAATCCCACACTGGCATTCAGCACACAGGCCACCGCATTGAGTTGACATAGAAACTGGATAATTTGTCTCTCCAGGTCAGGTTTGAAGCCCATTGGAGGAGTAGTGGGAGGAAGCTGACAATACACTGCCCATGCTTTACCTGTTCCATGAGTAGACAGAGGATTGTCAATCAGATACCTTTCACCAGAATTAATGCATACAAACTTTTAATGAAAAATAAAAGAGTGGATTCAGTGCCTAGAAAAGCGAGGAACACTAAAGTCAACTAAACTGTGAACAAGCCTAGGAGAAGAGATGGCCCATCATAGTAAATTGCACTACAATGGTGGCCTTGTTCTAATCCTTATTTGTGCATTTCACAAACCCTTTGAACAATTTCATTTCCCTCTGTGAATTAAGAAAGGATTAGAACTCCGTTCTCCAGAGGTGAATGGCAAGTACAGTAATCCATGCATCACAGAGTTCTCAGGTTAATGTCACAGCATGTTCTTACATCACTGACTGATATCAGCACTAACTAGGGAATACTGTGTGTTAGTTACTCATACTGCTGCTATTGTAGAACTAGCAGGGATACAGAAGAAAGTAGGTTACTTAACAGTAACTGCAGTTCTCAGAGTGCATTGCCTGCAGGTATCCACATTCTTGGTGTCCACGCAGCAGAACATCCAAAAAAGCAGGGATCAGTGGAAGCAACTTCATGAGGTAGAACAGCATTTATGTAGAGATTTCAAAAAGTGACTTTTGATTAGAGTATCCATACAACTTTTCCCATCAGATTCTAACAATTTTAAAGTAGTTTACACTTTGAGCTAAAAATCTTTAGTGTTTCTTTAAACTCCAGTGCATCTTGGCAACACGCATTCCTCTTCAGTTTACTAGTTGTGAAGGAGATGAAAAGCACCACAGGATAAAGTGATATCCATGTGCAAGTCCATGTATTTGGAGGTATGCTAAGGGGAGAATACCAATGGAAAGGCATGTGCCAGCAAGGCAGACTTTCCAAATTACTTTGGCAATGCACTTCAACTATAATACAGAAACTTCTTTCTAGTGCAATCTGCAGTCATTAAAGTGACTGCACTCTTTTCCACCACTGCTTGGCTTCACTCTGCACTTTCATGCCAGATGGCTGTCCATGCCTGCTGTGGTCTTTGTGACTGGTCTGTATTAATGAAAAGTATTCAGTTACACAGAAATGCAGTGAAATAATTTTGTTTCAGCTATAGTACTGAAACCTGCAGCGTGATTCAAATGTAAAGAAATGGCATCTGAATATTATACGCAAACATATATTAGGCTGTTGCAATTTGGATTGCATTTTCAAAAGAACTTGGACTTCAGAGTAGAAGAGAAGCTAAGAAATGGAAAAAATATCAGAATTAAAAAACCATCCTTAGTGAGGTATATAGTAGCATATAAGCTTTCCAAGTCAAGTATTTTGAATACTTACCCTCAAAGGCTTTGGCAGCATCTACCAAGTTTGACCAGTCCAGGTCGGAGGCAGAATCAGGCAAGGGCATAAGACCCGGGTCTGGCATGGGCTGCTTTCTCTGATCCTGGATGTCTGTGAGGGAGCTGTCTGAGGCAGAGAACTCTCCTGGAGCAATGCAGAACAAAAATTAAATAATCAAAAATTCAGCCATTTCCCTCACAGAAAGTTTCTTCATTTCCAGATAATAAAGAACTGAATCCCTATTCCTTGCTTTTCTGGGATGTAGTTTTTCAAAGCTGCACAGACGCCATTAAGAGCAGCAGTGAGACTGATCAGCCACGTCATTCTGCAAGTTAGCTCTTTGGAGACTGTGTTAACCTCTCACCCTCAGATTCAGTTCTTTCCAACATGCCCAAGATCTGCAGACCAGCACTTGGAAATCCAGGCTCTTATCTGACATTGTACACTGCAGATTCTTGTACCCCAACAGCTCATGTCTCCTCATGGGCCTGATAAGCGTTAGAAGATTCAGCAGTCTGCAGGCTTTAGGACAGCATCCCTGAACACTTTCTCTCATGGAATTAAAGGAAAATGAAATCTGAAATATTTGTAACCACTGACAAAATTATTTGTTTCAAAGGTGTTAACTGGATTGTCAGATAAATCAGAATATTTCTAGCTCATGTTTTCCCCTCCACATAATATGAAGAGCTGCCTTGAGGATGCAGTTGTTATTAATATGTTTAAAATTAACAAAATTATGAGTGAATGGAAGGTAACAAATATTGGATAGCATTAAATATCCAGTTCTATTTAAACTCTCTCTCACCAAGGGCATGTAAATAAGGAAGACAATGTATGGGTCACTCAAATGTTTGGGTCCTTTTATTCTGGAGGCCCACATTTTACAGAAAATTCCATTTTGTGACGATCGAATAAAACCCCTGCTTTACAATAAGAGTCTTGACATTTCCATTTCAGTGCAAAGTAGAGAATGACAGAGCAGCCAAGCTTCTTTTGGAAAATACAGAGGTCTAAATGAAAGGAGACCCTGAATAGCCTGCTCTCTTTTACACCCACAGGGCATACAGGCACTCTTTCCACAAGTCAGTTACAAATGTAATTCAGTCTAAAAATATATTTTAGTACCTATGGAGAGAAGAATAAAGGGAGCTTCATCCCTCCCACCTCACGATGAGAATTATGTTAAACAGCAGCAACTATTTACAAAAATGTCAACTTCAATACTGATTGAAGAGTTGACTTCAATAGTTTTGATGTCTAGGAATGAGAGGCAGCTGAAAATTATGTAGATATTTTTTCCAGCATAGTCACCAGTTGAAGAAAATGTATTCTATGACTCTGATGACAATCAATGGACAAACAGTATTCCCTGTGATGCAGGGGGCAGTTTCTTTTCCCAGTTATATGGTTGGGGTGAGGTACGTTAAATAATACTGTGGTTTAATTCCTGGCACCTTATTTTAACAGCAACAGTTATGGTAAAACTAGTACTCCTAGTGACAGATAAACATAGATTCGGAAAGAGCAGGGTGATATACTAGGAGCCAGAATTTCCTGCATCTACAACCAGTCCATTATTTGTACTCTGGTTATCTGTTTTTTGGAGTAGAGAGTTTGGGTTTTTTAGGCTAACCCGAGTCCCTTGGTGCACTGAAGGCTCCTTTGGCATTTGCCTGCTTGATCCAGTCTGTCATCTTTTTTTAAAATTCTG